TTTAGTCTTTATTTTATATTTTTGCTATTGGTACTTAGATGTAGAACAAGATTATTAATTATGATGTAGTTAAATTTTGTGTAATTTAGAAGAGAACCAGTAATTTCATAGTATTAGTGAAGATCTACTGTGCCACATGCTGCGCTACAACTGCGTCACGCTGCGTCATACTGCGTATTATTGCGCCACACTGTGCCACTGTAATACGAAAATATGTATAAATACAAGTGCTGATAATTAATAAAAATTAAGTTCTTTAGTTCGAGTTTTTAAGTTCTTTTGGTTCAGTTTAAGTTCTCCAGTTTATAGTTGAAGTTTCTTTTGGTTTAATGTCGAGTTTGACATGTTAAATTGATTTTAATTTGGAAATTTAAGTACTTTTTGGTTAAGTTTACCTTTTAGTTTAGTTTTACTATTAGTTTAGTTTTATTCTCGTCACCTTTTATCTTATTAAGAAATACCATTTATCATTATAAACACTATTTAATTACAACATTCAAAGTAAATTGCCATGAACACAGTCACTATTACCATTTTGAAATACTTTCATACGCAAAAGCTCAAAACGGTAACAATATATCACCAACCTTTAGTTATTTATCTTATCTCTCCCACCTGACTTGAAACATGTGTTGAACACGTAAGAAGATATAATATATTTGAAATCCAAGTAAAATAGTGACAATATGTGTGTTTGTGCTTGTGAAAAAATTTATGCAGTTATAGGTAAAACTGATTTATGAAGAAATAGAATTTTTTTGTTCAATATATATGCAATTAAAATATAGTACAGAATTGTCAGGCAATTATATTACATTATTACACGTGACATTTTTAAAGATTTATAACAAGGGTAAGGTATCACAATTGAGATCATTTAATTTATGCGCAAACCACATGACTAATTACCAAAATTTTCATCAATTCGAGATTTCTTCCAACATCACATATCACAAATTCTAGATCATTTCACATGCTGAATATGTACTACATTTTGCAGTCAAAATCTTTGCTCGTAGACAAGCTAATTTCAAAGTTATTGCACTGCCATAATTAGGTTATTGGATCATAATTAAATTACTCACTTTTATTTGGCAAGTTTAATTCAAATTGGTCATTTCAATTTGACGATAATTACAAAACACGGTGACATCATCAAAAAGTCACATGAGATCACATGTCACGTGTCATAATCGACCAATCAAAATTCAGAATTATCGAAAAGTTTAAATTTGACATATAAAGCATTATAAATGCTACATCACAAAATTTCAGCCAAAATTACAAATCACATGACATCAGCCACCAGCCAATGAAATTACAAGCAAACAAGTCACGTGATCGACGAGCGAAATTTGAAAACACTCTTTATTAACTAAGTGGTGAGGTGGTATCGAGAGCATCCAGAAAGCATCGGCAGAGGCAATAATGCGCCAAGTAATGCCGAGGTTATCATTTGGATTGGATGTTCACGGTATGGGATGATAAATCTTTAAAAGTTTTCATTAGCAACTATCAGTGTGTTTACTGAATTTAACAATGTCGGGGTCGTGAACGCACCGGTTCAAAACGGAAGACACGCCCAAAATCTTCTCAAATACTCTCAAGGTACAAAAAACCTTAAGAGATATGCACCGAAATTTAATTGAAGCGATATCTGCCGAGGGGGATGGAATGCTTTCAAAGCCGGTCCTTCAAGCTATAGTGCATACCATAGTATCAAGTTACTGATGCCTGGGTTTTGTCATCATATTTTTTTATGCGTGCAATATTAATCATCTACATTGGAGGAGGATTTTATGTATCAGCAAATTTAGCTGATATCTATATCCCAACAAAATATCAAGAACTTGAGTTTGTAATTAAAATGTCACGTATAACACTTCAAATAAAGGTTAGTAACATCCAAACAATCTTTAAAGTCTTAATTGCACTTACTTGATTGTTCTTGCAGAAATTATTATCAGTTACTATTTCTCGGTTTAAGCAGATGAAAAGCAGGGCTGAAAGAGATAAATTTGCACCTGGAAAAGTGGCAATGCCTGCTAGACAGGAGGAGTACAGATCCTTCCAAAAACCAAGGGTTCCGAAAACAAAAGGTCAGTAACAAAATCCGTTGAAATATTGTCTTTTAATTGTGGTCCACGTAATAATCTTCGGTCTGTGAATGATTTTTATCAATGTATCATATAATATCATAGCAATTATATATAGAGTTGACAAATAAAGGTTTGCCTGAATTGACTTTTACTCAACAAGATATATACAAGTTCAATGTGAATATTCTCCAAGTATTAGAAGACAGAAGATGTATAGCATTCATTCATTCTTTTATTTATTAAATAGTATATTGTTTTTTTATCTGTCAAGAATGTATTCAAAGATATAATAAATAATTATCATTAAATTATCACCCTAGAAAATTGCTACAAATAATTAACAAGCAATCTTAGTGAGAAAGGTAATGTTGTATCGGTGATAACAATCTCTTCCCCTTCTTCGACTAAATCTCGTAGTTTCTTTTCAAGATTCGGCCGTGTGCTCTTTTCCAAAAATGGTGGAGCTTGTAGATATAGTTTCTTTGAAGCTGTCGATAGGCTCGGTTTCTTGAGTTGACTAATATCAAAAGGATAATTAATTAAACAATGATCTTACATTTTATATAAGAAAAAAGAAATATATACTATTGAACTACTCACGCATCAGGTTTTTCTTTTAGCCAATCAATAAACTCTTCTAACGTCATATTTTTTTTCACCTCCACAGAAACTGGATTGTTCTCGTCGGAACAGACAGGACATTCGGGTTTCTTTTGGTGTTCGAAAGTGTATGTGTAGATACCCTCGTTACCGGTGTACATCATGTAATTGTTTAGATATGGTGCAGTGGTGGTGGCAAGTTTGAATGCTTCATTACAACATGCAGCTTAAAATTCATAATAAATTTTTCGGATAAGTTTAGATACGAACACGTTTTTTTTTTATGCGACGTTTAAATAAAAACCGAATTTACCGGCAACTATAGCATTTGTTGAAGCAATAGCCGGAATAATATTCTTGACAACACCCTGCGTGAGAGTATATGTAACACCCGTTATATTGAACTGCTTTGCTCTTGTATTGGCGGTTTCATACACCCATTGAATATGCTGCGGTTCATCAGTATCGAGCTTCTGCTCTAAATAAGATAGCATACAATAAGTGAATATTAACTAAATAATTCTATCCCGTCCCAAAAAAAGCAATAACCTGGAAATGCTTTTGGCCATTCTAAAACATACGCCCATTCGATACAATGTTCCGGCAGACGCGGTGTATTTGCGATTGTACAAATCGGAAAAGTAGTCGGTTTATTTAACATGTCAAGTGAGCACTCGTAACATGAAGTAAGTGTTGGGATGATAACACGCGCTTGACCCTTGAAGCCTATTATTTAGTAGTATGTGAATCAGAAGATTTCTTTGTTAGATAATCACTCTTGAAAATATATTTATAATAGATTTGTATGCTATTGATGCATGTATGCTTTGCATACCTTCAGTGCCTCCATCAATTAACGGTATTACCTCTTCATTTTCTCGTGAGATTTCAACTATAGTAGCATTCATCCAGCGTCTTGCTTCCACAGAGTCCAGTCCACATATCACAATTTGGAATTGCGAGTAATAGTCTGCATCTTTGTCCTGAATTTTGCCATGATAACTTTTTATAATCAAAAGTAACAAAAAATATTATATATCTTTTTTCAACAAAGCAATTCGTCGTCGATTATGGACTCACGGAGTTACTGTTACACCGGCGACTCGCTTCATCACAAACTCAGCCGCAACAATAGCCTTCGGACGTCCAACATCAGAAGGTCTACATTAAAAATAGATCAAATCAAAACAGATCAATCCACTTCTCTTTAACTAATACATAGATAGCTAACATTTTTCTTCTTCGATCCTAACCTAAATAAAAATTGTCGATTTAAATTTGACACATCAATTGTATCCATATCGATTACGTGAATATTTTTGAACCCCGAGAGTGCAAGATTTTTCAGTATTTCACAGCCCAGGCCGCCAGCACCAATTACCAGAATCTTGCAAGTGTCTAAACTATTTTTCTAATGTTATAATATATTGAAGTTCAAAAATTTTTTCGAATAGATTTTAAATTCAGATATAAAGGTTTACACAAGAAAAATACAATACTCACTCCTTGACCAGGAGCAAAGCTTTCGTCGCAAAAGGGTCCACGACGGTTCAAAACTTTATTTATGTGGGTCCATCGGTTAGACCAATCTATGTTTGAACTGATGCTGTCTTGGAAACTTGTTGGAGTGTCTGTTTGCATTTGTGTTGCCATTCTTTTGGGTTTTTTAAGAAATTAATTGCTTCGAGAAAAGTTAATTTATTATGAACCAAGAACCCCTGTAAATGAATCTATTTTTAGAAATTGGATATTTCCCTGTATATATAGGAATTCACTATGCGATGTACTACTTGTATAATGAATATATAAACGTATGTATAGTATTTTCTCTAGTGCTGGACGATTCTTTTCTCGAAAATGTAAATTGCCTGTGTTTGCCACGTAACGTTTCTTGCAAATTGAAATTTTTTATTTACTCAAAATATTCATGGTGCAGGGCGTCACGACGTTCATTAAGGAAAAATGCGGCGACGTCAGCTAAAGTTACGAGTAGAACAACAAAGGCAAGAATTTTAATTTCATTATTAATAAAATAAGTCAGTATGCACCAAGAATATTAAGCAATTTGAATAACTAAAGGAAAAATCAGTTTCCAATACTGGAGATGAAGATACCTCTGCTTCAACTTCTACTACAACCACGCCACCACCAACCGCCGCCACCACCCAATACAACTACATTCCGCCCTTGAACTTAAACACGGTCGCAAAACCGTTCAAAAATCCACACTACAAAGCACCTAAAAAAGCGAAAAATCTTAAACAGATTTTGGCTGCTGAACGGTTGTTGAATATACCAATAGATATTCCAACTTGTAATTTTTTTTTGATTTCATTTTTAATTTTGGATTTATGCGGAGATATTAATTAATTAAATAATAGACTCGAATATCGAGGCACCTCCTTCGCTGCTTCCGCAAAAGAAGTATTGTGATATTACGGGATTAGAGGTTTTTTCTGTTTTAATTTCATTTAGCTTAATTACTTAAATGTAAAACGCGTACAATTATTTTTTGTTTGTGGTAGGCGAAATACACCGATCCGAAAACCAGGCTCCGATATCATTCTTCAGAAATCTATAAGGAGATAAAACAAATGAGCCCAGGTGTCGTGCAAGATTATCTTGGCGTGAGAAATGCGGCGGTAGTGTTGCGGTAGTGGGTGTATTAATTAGTATGTCATTTATTTGCTTTACTAACGTGTTAGATTATTATGCCTGTTTCAATTAGATTTTAATATCTAAACTGTCCATTCGCACATATTATAAATAGTATTAACGTTTTAAATGATTAATTAGCCCAAGAAATAAATACATTTAAAATTCTAGAGTTTTACTTATAAGGGTATATGTAATATATATATATATTTTTAACAAATTAGAGTGTTGGTGTTGCGTTTACCCCTGCTTTTTGCCACGCAACAATAGCAAACAATAACCAACAAACCACCAGCAACAAGATCATCAATCCAAAATAGATCTGTGAACGCTGCCTCTGTTTCTTCATAGCTTCCTTAACAAAAGTTGTATCATCCTCAATAATCATCATTTGTGCTCCTTGTCTGGTGACTGATTCATCTTCGCTCGCTTGTACATATTTAGAGGTGTCGTGATGATTACTACCATCATCTGCAGAATTTATTCGTCCACCCTCGTATTTTTTATCGCCCCACCAGAAAGCCAAAGTACTCAAAAACAATAAAAAACTCAAAATCGCAAACATTTTCAATGCCGCTAAATCATCATCTTTGTGACCACGCTCAATGCCGTCTAGACCAATAGTATAATTGCTTTTTTTTACGTGCGCGTCTAGTATTAAACCTACGACTGTTTGGCTGAGTGTCGCGCCAATATTGTTAAGACTTTTGTATAATCCTAAGCCAGTTGATACGTGTTCTGTTAGTAATGGAACCAGACTGACAACAGTTAATGGTAATAGTGAGAAGGCCGTCGCAAAAATGATTATCGGAGGGAAAGGATGAATCAGTCGTGGTGGTAATAGGAGAAGTAAAAAAGTCGTTAGGATTGATATAGACGAGACAATTACTATATTGTAGAATTAATTAAAGTTAATGAAAATCAATAATATTATTTGATATGAAAAAGAAAATCTTACATATTGAACATCTCTTTCCATACTTATCCAAGAATAAACCCAAGAAAGGATATATTATAACTGGCAACAATAGTATAATTGACGCGTCCCATGCGGCCAATAAATCGGTCGTTCCAAATCGATGCTTTATAATATTACTAGATATAAAATAGTTAAATATAACAACGAGAATCAAAAGATACGGCAACAATAAATAAGAAAAAAATAATAAATACCTCGAAAGATGAAGAAACGGTTCCATCGATGTACCGTACAATAATACGACAACCAAATACCACCAAAACATATTCGATAGATCGAAAATTGCACTCCAAAGAACCGTTTTCTTTTTGGTCACTTCGTGCAACGCGATCCCCCCGCGCTTTTTATTTTTGCGATTGTCAGCGTGTCTTAATAACAGTAAATAAATAATGTTCATTATCCAGGATAAAAAACAAGTGAAAGTCGCTATCAGAAATGGGGTACGATAAGTGAGTGGTTCCATCATTGAAAGTGGAACTGCAGTTACGGAAGCAACAAATGCTGCCTATATTTCATAATACATTAATATAATTATTGAAATATAACTAAATAATTGATCTATTAATTACCAATTTCCCCATTGTGAGCCCTGTTGCCAATGCAAATCCCAGCCCATGTCCTTGAAAAAAATGTACAATAATTGTCTCTTGTATGATTGTTAATGGAGCCAACCCCATTCTATAAATTGATCGAGGAAAAAATGCGATTTTAGTCGTCGCCCGCATCCATCCATATAAGCAAAAAACAAATCGACATACCCAAAAATAGCGAATCCTGTAATCATTGCCCATATTTTGCCACTCCAACTAGCAGCCGTTACTATAATCATTCCCAAAAGTATGACGGAAGTCACCACAATTGAACTATTCGTGGTACCGAATTTAGCTATAAGTACTCCGGAAACTGTCGGTATCACGGTATTACAAAGAGTGAGAGATGCGACCAGTAACGAAAATTGCGTATTTGTCAGGCTAAGTTGCTATGATTAAAATAAGGAGGTATGTGTATACATATATATGTATATATATATATAATGTGATGATGTATACATATATATGTAAAATATATATTTGTATATATTTTTTGGAACCAAATCAATGATTGATGGAAGAGACATGTTGTTTGCTGTTGTTCCTTTTCGTAATATATATTATTATTTTTCATAAAATCAATTTTCGAGCAAACTAATCGTTCTCTTAAGTAAATTTTCTGCTCTAATATTAGATTGAATGTAAGTAATTACCTTCATCAGAATTCCTTTCATTGGTCCTATAATGTGTCCTGCGAAATGACTGCCAATGCCAAAAGTGCACGCACAAGCCATTGCAATCATTTTGATAATTTTCTCTGTTTCGTCACTTTTAATAAAGCTTCCCCTTCTACTTCCAATGAAACCATTAGCAGCAGCGCCGTTGACGCCATCACCACTGCCACCATTTGGAACTTGGGTAAAAGATATATTCTCTGACGGTTGCTTTATCAGCCACTCTTTATCTCCTAGATCAGCATCGGAAAGTGAAGAAATATTTCGTTCAAGTAACCTTGAAAAATCCTGCGTAGAATTTAAAGTTGGTTTGGTGAACGAGGGCAGAAATTGGTCGTCTTCATCATCAGTTTCCACATCGTCGTCTAATAAAGTTGTTGTGGGTATTGTGGTTAAATTTAATTGTTCCATTTTTTAGTTATACGTATATTTTTAGTTAATTACAAATATATATAGCTCTTATTTTGAGCCAAATAAAACGAGTACAGTCATATCTCTATAACGATAATCACCCCCTCTATAAACACATCACATAAAACCTCTATAAGCACACCCCTACAATAAATTACCGGAAATCCAAAAAAAGAACAGTAAAAATTGAATTTTCTTTATTTTCTTTATAATGAGTTAATAGTTAAATTATAAAAAGTTTGTGTAACCAATTTTGCAATCAGAAATATTTCTTGAAAAAACTATGTTAAAATACAGATTCTTGCTTTATTTTGATATAAAAACAAAAAATATTTACTAATAAATTATAAAGAGAAAATTGGATTTCTGAAGAATTGTAATAATCAATATTAAGTATTACTAAATAAAGTTATTATTTTCTGCATGAAAATATCTTATAACAAAATCATGGCTCTATTAAGCAAAGTTCAAAGAAATATTTCTCAAGTATTATTAACATCTCTATCTATTTTTATATTGCAATTTTTGCATTTGTACATTTTTGATTTTTCAATATAGTCAAACTTCTCTATAATCACATTCATTTATAGTCATATCTATTTATAGTTACATTTTTTTATAGTCACACTGTTTTGCTTTCCTATTTATATTGTTATGATATGAATATTTAGTTCTTATTTTATTAATTAAATTATATCATAAATTTAATTAGATGATATTCTATTGGTTAATTTCATATTTATATTTTATTGGATAGTTATTTTTAGATAGTTATTATTTTATTGAAC